CCTCTGTTGTCTGTAGCATCAGGAGGCCAGGGCCATGGAAAGAGGCAGATCTGCAGGGCCACCACGCTCGTTCCTCCAGAAACATTGCCCAACAACACATCCCTGTACCGAGCAGCCTGGCTCCAGCCCATCTCTCCACGCGCAGCATCCTGGCACCAATCCCCCAGCACCCACAGCCCACCTGCTGGCTCTTCCCCGCTGGCATCCCAGCGTTGGCTGTTCCTCAGAAACACCCTGTGTTTGGCAGAAGCACGTTCCCCAGGGCAGCACAGCACAGCTGGTGGTCTCTAGACACCCCGGGCCAACATGAAGAACCTGCCACACATCCAGTCCACCTCGTTTTTCCTCCCTTGCAAAACCCAGCAGCTACCAGCAGCCTATCCACCCTAGCAGGACACCTTCTCCTTGGCTGAGGCATTCGGGTGCTGCTGCCAAGGCAGGACGCACATCTGCAGTGAGATGCTGGGACCGTGTCCTACTTCCCCATCCAACAAGAACTGAGCTGCTGCCAGCAAGGGAGGAGGTTTCTGTGGGTAGAAGATGGCTGGCAAAATGCTGATGCATCTGTGTGGTTGACTCCCTACACACGCTCATCCTTCCCTGAACTTGTGCCTTTTTTCTCTCCCTTCCCCATCCTCCTCCTCCTGTTTTTAGGCATTCCCTTCCCTTTGTCTCCAGGTCCTTAGAGTTGCCACCCAGGATGTCTGCGGAGGTGCCTCTACCCAGCATCATCCTTCACATGGCAGCCAAGCCTCCTGCCTCGGGGAGGTTGGCGTGAGGACACGTGACACATGAGAGCATCTGGTTGGGTAAGTAAGTTATTTGGTTCAGGATTATTCCTTATCATAGAAATAACAAATAAGGAGGAAAATGCTAAATTAAACACACAGACACACAAACATTAATGAGCAGGTGATGAGAGTGAGAATAATGGAGAACAGAGCTCATCAGGCGCTGGTGGGCCATTAGAAGAACTACACCAGCCTTGGAGACTGATAGATAAGGAGGAAACATGGTTAGGATGAACATTAAGGGATATTTGTGGGAGCTTGGGGAAGTGCCCAAAACTGACTATGTTTGTTATGTTAGGAAGCTTAGGGGAAGGACTGAAGACACAGGAAGGGAAGGGTCAGGGTGGAACAAGAGTGGGAAGATGGCAAGGAGGGAGGTTGGAGGGGTCAGGTCTATGTGAGCAGGTTTTCAGGCAGAACGTTCCCCTGACTGGGCCCTGCCTCTGATCCCTGCAGCCTGGCCTGTCATCTTATTAACTCCCGTTCTTAATTACCTTTTCTGTGTCATCTCATCGTCTATCCTGTGTGCCAACCCCTGGATAAGGGACCATGGGTGACAAGGCCCAGAGGTCTGGGTGTTAGGACCAGAGGGAGGGGGACATACATGATTATCTGAGGGGTGCAGGTGCCAGGACCCCAAGAGACCTGGCTGTGTTTATATTTCCTTAGGGAATTTAGTCCCATGTGGACACAATTTGCTAGCAAACATCAAGCTGCACTAGCTGGCCAGTAGAAAACTCCAGGTCTGAGCCAGGTCTGGGTAAGAGAGCCAGAGCACGGGCACAGCCATTGGAGAGGGCTTCCAAGGGATCCATGAGCATGAGGTACCTTTTTTGGTGCCAACCTGGAATTCTCCTGGCAGCAGGCACTCACTGGTCACCCTCCCAAACGCTGCTTGAGGGTGTGCTGGGCTTCAGACTTGAAGTAAATGCAAAGTCTCAACTGCAACGAGAAAGAAAATGTGTTTTATTAAGTAATCACAACTTGGCAAGAGGAGCTCAGCACAGGCAGGCGACTCAGAAAGCAGCTCTTGCCAGTAAACACCAGTTCAGTGGAACTGGGGTAACAGGAGAGAACCTGCAAAGCCCACGAGGCGCCTCCATTCAAGCTCCTTTCAGACAGACTTCAGTTGTGTCAGGAACAGCAGCGTCAACAGCTGCTGAGTTACAAAGCTGTCTCTAATTAGTTTGGAGACAGTCAATCATTTTCAACACCTTGAAGCAAAGGAACCGTGCTTGAAAATAAAAAAGTTGAGGTTCAAGTGTCTTCAGAGCCGGAAAGACAACTGTCCACTCAGGTACCAAAGTGAAAATTAAAATGCTTATACCTTTATTTTTGTGCAGTGCTTTGGGCTGCTGTGACTGTAAAGCAATTAAATAACAGTAGTATCACTTCCAGACAATACTCTTCCATAATGAATTCAAGTAAAGGCTAAAACCACAGAAAACTGGCCTAGAACACACAAACGCAGCCTTTATTTCCCCAAAGGAACTGGGTGAATTCAGAGAGGTTGCCCCGTTGCCATTTCACTTGTAGCTGTCAAACAAGCAGGCCTGAAAAGTAGGTCTTGGAAAAGTTTGTTTTCCCTCCTTTTATGAGCTCCCGCAGGCACAGAAAGCATTTATTCTTGTCTTGTACAAAGCCAGGGAGTGAATTAGAATTCAGCGACGTACCTCGGAGCTGGGCAGCTGGAAAGGGTTGGCCAACAGGGAGCCCTCCCACCTCCGAGCTGCTGCAAGTGGTCGGTGAAACCATCACGGTGTTCCCTGATAAGAAGAAGACCGACAGATACGAAAAGGACCTTGGAAAGTATTTCCAGGATTACTTTTTATTAAGACTCAAAATAGGACGAATTTTCAATCTCTAGGCAATAAAATGGAGAGATGTGATTTTATCTCTAACTCTTTAAAGTTACTAAAGTTCAGTAAGAAAAGTTTTTGTGACGGCACTCAGAAATAAGCTATTTATCTTGATATGAACTGTCGTGTCACCCTGAAAAGGAAGCACACCTTCCCTACACTGCTTGCTTCCCATCCTTTTTCCCAAGTTACCAACTTTAAGACAGAAGTAAGGGAGCAGTTCTCAAAATTCTGAAAACTGAGCTGACAGATATTTCAGTTAAGGATTTATCAACTAAGAGAAAATATTGACACTTTAAATCATTTTGACAGTTTTTTCTGACTGAAAGAGAAACACCCAGCATAACGGTAGCAGAGGAAAACCTGTTAGCACTCAAGTCTCAGCTACAATCGCAACAAGCACAGCCCAGTGCCAGAGACACTTCAGGAAGAGCTTTGACCTGCTGGAGGGGTGGGCCCACCTCATGAGGTTCAACAAGGCCAAGTGCAGGGTCCTGCACCTGGGTTGGGGAACCCTCGTTATCAATGCAGGCTGTGGAATGAAGGGATTGGGATCAGCCCTGCTGAGAAGGACTTGGGGGTTTTGGTTGATGAGAAGGTCAACGTTCACCAGCAATGGGTGCTCACAGCCCAGGAAGCCAACTGCATCCTGGGCTGCATCCCCAGCAGTGTGGCCAACAGGGCAAGGGGAGTGATTCTGCCCCTCTGCTCTGATCAGACCCCACCTGGAGTACTGTGTCCAGGTTTGGGGCCCCCCAACATAAGAAAGATATGGACCTGTTGGAGCAGGTCCAGAGGAGGCCACAAAGATACTCAAAGGGCTGGAGCACCTCTGCTGTGAGGACAGGCTGAGAGAGTTGGGGTTGTTCAGCCTGGAGAAGGATCCAAGGAGACCTTATTGAGGTCTTTCAGTAATTGAAAGGGAGGTTATGAGAAAGATGGAGAGAGCCATTTTACCAGGGAGTGCAGTGACAGGACAAGGGGCAACGGTTTTAAATTGAAAGAGGGGAGATTTAGATGAGATATCAGGAAGAAATTCTTTCCTGTGAGGGTGGTGAGACGTTGGCACAGGTTGCCCAGAGAAGCTGTGGATGCCCCATCCCTGGAGGTGTTCAAGGCCAGGCTGGATGGGGCTTGGAGCAACCTGGTCTGGTGGGAGGTGTCCCTGCCCAGGTTGGACTAGGTGATCTTCAAAGGTCCCTTCCAACCCAAACCATTTTATGATTCTAAGAACTAACTCAAGCAAACAACCCTGTATTGGATTAGTGTTATTTTGTGATCACGACAAACCTGAACTCAGATGAGACCCCCTCGTACATGTCTCCTTTTACAGAGAGGAGCCCTTTCAGCTTCACATCTACCATCTTTTAAAAAAGGGAGTGGTTTTAAGTAACCTTAAGTTTAGCTTGAACCGGAGTGAAATACGGATACGAACTGGATGTCAGAGGAGAATTCTGACACTCTCACTGCTGATACAAAACCTGCTTTTTGCTAATGAAGCCACCAAACTCCCAAATACGGCATCGGAGCTGACAAAGGCAAGGTCTGCAAACCGGTCCCCAGCACTAATTACAAGGCTTTTCTTTCCTGTTCACCCCATTAATCTTTTAAATATTGCAGCGAGATTCAACCTTTTAGGAGACTGACGGTGCTGCAGAAGGTTAGTAATGAAATCTCAGTAATTCACTGTCTCAAAGCGAGAAGAATCTGCCAACTCACAGAAAACCAGCACTTCAGAAGTGGAACATCAATTGCCACACTACTTGTCTGAAATGAAAAGAAATCCCAGGGGGCTGTAAGAAATGCACACTCACAGTTTTAAAACATAATGCAAGAGAGAAAGCGTCCAGCAGCACTCAAAAAAATATTGAGGCATAGTCAGGTAAAACAATGGGAGCCCAGAACAATCTTTTACATGTCTTTCAATTTTTAAATGTCTTTCTTTAAAAAAAGGTAAACTCTAAAAAGGTACTTTGAGTTTTAACCCCTGTTCTTGAATACCTAACTATGTCTTTTTTTTTTATAGACTGAGAAAATGGTGGTATCAAACATTCTTACCTATTCTGTGTGTGCTGCCAGCAATCATTTCTGCCAATAAATATGAGTTGGCTGTACAATACACCTGGTTTGGTAAAATTTTTGAATGTCCACAGGAAGTTTTCTTTTTTAGCAATCTATGAAGTTATCAAACTGAGATCCACTACCTTGAAGTGATAAAATGGCTGAATTATCCCAACAGTTGTTCTGTTCACAATATAATGAAAATCTGAAGCAATATTTAGTGTAGCAATGTTTTATTTCTATCGTTGCAATAACTCTCTATTTATATGCCATTAAAAGCTGCCTGGAATAAAAAGGCTTTCACCATACCACCAGTCATACCTCTAACAGAGCTCAGACAGATTTAAGCGAGACATTTCCAAGTGGTCTAAATAAGGTGGAGAGATCATCGTCACCTACTGTCAATGAGATCTTTTGAATATTGCACCTCACGACTCCTTTTGGCTTGGAGCTGTAACTCCTCTGTTTCACACCCTGAGTTGGCCACCGTCTTAAGTTCAAATGAAGAATGTCCTTAAGACAGATGGTCAAGTGTAGGCTGCTAATTCATACCTAAAACTTAATTTAGATACCCCTTTGCTTTATGCTCTACAGGCAGGAGACATTAATAACGTTTTTGTGTAACTACCATGAAGAAACCTACTGGTTTAGATAATAATCTGTTCACCAGGCCAATCATCTAAAGAGTTTTGGCATCTTAAAGCATTTTATTTAAATTGCCCAATGAGCGAAGGCAAGTATGACACCTCATGTTCAGGAGGTGTCGCAGAGTTGGAGCACACGTCTGGACAGATTCTGCAGAGCTGATGGCACAGCAACATGTTCAAAGCAAACATTACATATCTACATTTAGAAGAAATTAATTGTCCCCAGAAGAGTCAACTTCTCTCCACTCAGAACAAAAGGAGTCCAAATGACAAGATCAGGTGTAGATGTTGACAATTGTATTTGAAGTTTAGATGAGATTAATTCTGCCCAGAAATCCCACATCATCTATGTAAGCTACCTAGACATAGGTATTACTTGCCATGGGTTTCACGTTCGACCTGCAATTTTACACCACTTGAAACCACTGTAAATCCCCAATCTTTTTTTTCCACCTCCATAAAAGGCATATGCTACCAAGTCAATTAATACTTCCTCTTCAAGTAATTAATACTTGCACCTGACAAAAACACTTTAAGCATACCTTATCTATTGCTCAGAAAGACATTTTTGTGGTGACTGTTTCTATCCCAATACCTAGTTTTTAAATCTGCAGCTTAGCACTGGTCCTTGCTACTCAATTTTTGGGTGGCCTTCAGGAAATTCCCTGCTTGCTCTTGCTGTTCTCCAGGGCAGCTTTAGCCTTTTGGCCTGACTTGGGCCCTTAGTGGTCTCACAACCCTTAGTTGTACCAAGAGACTGGGGCTGATGTTGGCCTGTGTCAACAGGATTCTCTTATTTCGAATAAAGATTGATGCCTGTACTTATAATGGACTTTATACACAGTTAAACCAAAATGTTTGTCAGTAGGAAAATGAGAGATAATGAGACTTTTAGTTAGAAGAGGACAAAAAATGAAATTCCTATGTCTATAATATGAGGCTTCTCAACAATTCCTGTATTGCCCCCCTTCTGTCCAAGAATGGCATTGATACTTAAGGTAAGTCAGATTACATGAATCTTAATTACTTACAGATTCTAACGAAGAGATTTATAAAACAATACATTAGAACACTAACAATACATTAGAACACTAACTAAACAATAAATTAGAACACTAACAAAACTAATACACATAAATTTTCACTTTATGGACTTCTTTGTCTTCGCATTCTCTTTGCTTATCGTAATAATTGAATGTATTGTCCCTTCTCTGAAGTTTCTTAACAAATCCAGTTTCTGGCCAACGCTCTACCTGTGAATACAATAAAAAGGACATACATTCACCTGAACATGCTCACACTGAATGATGTTTGTGCCTTAAATTGCAAAGAATACAAGGTATACTTCCATGGGAAAACCTCATTTCCATCTGAACACTACTTTGCTATTAATTTGCTGGACTTTTAAAAAAAGATTAAGAACAATATGTCAGAAGCCAGTTTTCTGGTCTAGCATAAAGAATTATGTGATCAGAAAAGTCTAGAAATAGGGATCTAAGAATATTTGATAGACTAATTTAAAATGTGGACTACCCAAAGCTTTTAAAATACCTCACTTAGGAATAAAACATTGATGTTATTCATTAATCTGAGAGGCTGAGAGATTCCACTTCTGTAAGACTGACACACACTTAAGGGTTTCTTTGGGATCCTTCTGACCATGAAAAATGTGCTTTCCATTAGCAATTTCATAAAAATAAAGTGAGTTACATGTATCATAGTTTCAAAGACAGCAGGATGGGTCCTGCAGGAACCCAGCACCTTCCTGGTGCTGTTCAGTGCTCCACAAAGTGAAGCTGGAAACGAAAGGCTTGAGCACTCGCATGGGTGTGTTCAACAGCTTCATGGCTTTGGTAGCTACCTGCACCTTGAACACCTGCTGCTACTGATCAAACTGCACCTTAAAAAAAGAAGAATCTCATTTCTTCTCCAGGCAGGGTTGACAATAGGGTGGCAAACTAGAGCATTCTCTAATTGGAGAGTCCCACAACTGGCAGTTTCATCATTTACCTCATTACTTCAGGCATACAGCTGAGTTATTTGCATTCTCTATCCAAACATAACAGCCTTAAAATTCATTCCACCTCCATTACAATTGCATCATTAATGACAATTGCATTATGGAAACGTAATATGGGGTAAAAAAGACATTTCAAAATGTGTAAATTGAAAGAGAAACACTGCCAGATCCTGGCAAGTTTAAACAGAACACATGATCATTTTACTTTGAGTAAGTGGTGCTCTTTATAAAGTGTTTAATTGTCTGTGGTTATGCCCTGACATAAATCTTAAACAGACTGATCCTACCTCACTAATCACAGGATTTCCTTTTGCAGAGTTAAAGGAATTTACACTACAGCCTTTACAGTGGTACCCGAGCCCACTACAAAAGAGTAAACTGCATCTTATTACACACACCATTGTTTGGAGTTAACTGGATGAGGAGTGACTTTTGCACCTTGAACACCTGCTGCTACTGATCAAACTGCACCTTAAAAAAAGAAGAATCTCATTTCTTCTCCAGGCAGGGTTGACAATAGGGTGGCAAACTAGAGCATTCTCTAATTGGAGAGTCCCACAACTGGCAGTTTCATCATTTACCTCATTACTTCAGGCATACAGCTGAGTTATTTGCATTCTCTGTCCAAATGTAACAGCCTTAAAATTCATTCCACCTCCATTACAATTGCATCACTAATGACATGGAAATGTAATATGGGGTAAAAAAGACATTTCAAAATTTAATGACAATTGCATTATGGAAACGTAATATGGGGTAAAAAAGACATTTCAAAATGTGTAAATTGAAAGAGAAACACTGCCAGATCCTGGCAAGTTTAAACAGAACACACGCTCATTTTACATTGAGTATGTGGTGCTCTTTATCAAGTGTTTAATTGTCTGTGGTTATGCCCTGACATAAATCTTAAACAGACTGATCCTACCTCACTAATCGCAGGATTTCCTTTTGCAGAGTTAAAGGAATTTACACTACAGCCTTTACAGTGGTACCCGAGCCCACTACAAAAGAGTAAACTGCATCTTATTACACACACCATTGTTTGGAGTTAACTGGATGAGGAGTGACTTTCTTAGGAACATTCTGCTCTTTCCTATGCATTCAGGAGGTTAAGATCTTTTAAAAGTGGATTTTTTCATACTGTATATATGCTGCTTTGCAAGATAAATTACAGAGCTCCCATAAAAATATGTTGTTTGCTGTGTTAACCTCTTGGTTGCTATTTTGAGTCCCAAGTAGCCACCGAATGTCTGGCCACTATTCATTAGCTCATTTGATGTGCTGGGGAGCGTTGCCACCAACTAATACTGAGCAGAGGACCAAGACCTCGATGTTCTCAGTTAATAAATGCCTGTGTCACAGCTCCCTTTACCACAGTTGGCATCAAATATTCCTATTGTGGGCATTTTCTATAGAAGCCAAGTTGTGACCGTGCATTATGCTACCACACCTTTCAACTGCAAAACTGAAGTCGGCTCACAATGACACAGAACTGTCCCCCTGGACAACGAGCACGTTTCCTGTCAGGTCTGTTGGCAGAGTAATGGGGAAACTCCAGAGAGAACTAACTTTGATAAATTCCTGTCCTCAGACCCAAACTATTCATTTAGATACCAGCTGCATCTATTCAAAGGAATCAATAATGCTTCTGAATGTGTGAGAGGGAACAAAAGCTCAGGCTGGGTAGTGTTTCTGTTTCACTTTTGTGAAATAAATTATTCTGCACAGTTAATAATAGCTCAAGAATTCAAGTCAGACCTGGGAGAAAAAAACACCCATATCGGGAACTAGCCAAAATGAAAGGAAATAATCAGCACCTCCATTTTTTTTAATCATTTAATATGAGACAGATGTTTAAAGGAATAACCTTTGCAGAGTTCTAAATCTTACCGTATCAACTTGTTTTACTTGCTTATATTCAACCTCATCTCTGTATCCAGCTAGCTGAAATCTGTATAAGTTCTCTACATCAGCTGACCATTTTTTGGCACCATGTATAGATTTTGGTTTGATGTCAGCTTCAGCCATGACTCCAGAAAGACTTCACACTTTTCCCTGAAATTAGATTTTTGAAAATGGAGTAGAGAAGACAGAAGCAAGTGATTTTATTAGGGACATAACAAAATGGGTAAAATAAAATTTAAAAATAAAGGAATTACAGACAGTACAATATTATCTCCCCCTGAAAGTCTGAGGTTAAAAATGAAAAATGTTATAAGCAATTGAAATCAAATTAAATGTGCTACTTGATCTCAAACAAACCCAACTCACCTACACAACAAAATACATCTCTGCATCTTGACTTAACCTACCTAAAATTTATTTGTGCATATTGATACACTAAAAAAAATACATATGAAATAGAGCAATTTTTTAAATTTCACATCTTTGCAGTGATATCCCTTTGAGACAGGCAGTCTTTCAGCTTTTTCTTTCTTCCTATTGAAGGGACACCAGAGTGGGAACCACAAAATGAAGAGCTGGGCTGTTACTGAAGAACAGCAAGCACCCGGGATGGGAGGGAGAGGGAGGGAAGAAATACACTGCCAGTCACAGTGGAGATGACAAAGTAGAGGTCTTAAGAAATGAATTTGATTGGGATAAGACAGCAGCTGCACCCCTCAGCCCAGGCAGAGACCCCCAGGCTGGGCTCCAATGGCCAAGCTGGAGAACTCCTGGACCAAGAGAAGTCCTGGACCAGGAGAATCGTAGAATCATAGAATGGTTTGGGTTGGAAGGGACCTTTAAAGATCATCTCGTTCCAACCCCCCTGCCCTGGGCAGGGACACCTCCCACCAGACCAGGTTGCTCAAAGCCCCATCCAGCCTGGCCTTGAACACCTCCAGGGATGGGGCAGCCACAGCTTCTCTGGGCAACCTGTTCCAGTGTCTCACCACCCTCACAGTAAAGAATTTCTTTCTGGTATCTAATCTAAATCTCCCCTCTTCCAGTTTAAAACTGTTACCCCTTGTCCTGTCACTACACTTCCTGACAAAGAGTCTCTTCTCAGCTCTCCTGTAGCCCCTTCAGATATTGAAAGGCTGCTATTAGGTCTCCCTGGAGCCTTCTCTTCTCCAGGCTGAACAACCCCAGCTCTCTCAGCCTGTCCTCACAGGAGAGGTGCTCCATCCCTCTGATCATCTTCGTGACCCTAGAAGAGAAGTCCTGGACCAGGAGAGGTCCTGGGCTGGAACATGTGGCTGCCCTTCTTAGATCACTGAACACAAGACAGCATTCACAGGGCCTATTTGGGATCCTGGAAGAGGCAGTAAGAGATTTCCAACGACTTCCACAGGGTTTACACGGGAGCTTCTTGCGTTCAGACAGAGGGCTGGATCTTGTCCCCAGTCACCGCTGTGACTGAGCCCCCCGCCCTGCTCCCACCGCCGTAGCCACAACCCGGCCGCCCAGCCCTCCGACGACCCACCTCGGTGCGAGGGGGTCGCAAAACGGGGCTCTCTTTGAAGAAGAGGTGGGGAGCGGGGGCACGGAGCGGCCGCTGGAGAGCGATGGCGGCGCTCCCCCCTCACAGCGCAACGGCCGCCGCCGTTGCCAGGCAACCGCCGCGCCCTCCCATCCTCATTAACCAGCCGTTCCCGCCTCTCCTGTGCCGGGCGGTCTCTGATAGGCCGGCGGGAGGCGGGGCCGCCTCGCGATTGGCTGTGACAGGCTCGGGGGGGCGGGGCGAGGCGAGCGAGGCGGAAGCCGTTGGCCACCATGAGCCGGTTCGGGGGTCGCGTGCGCGAGTCCCCGGCCGTGTCCATCGACCGCTTCGACCGCGACAACCTGCGCGCGCGGGCCTACTTCCTCTCGCACTGCCACAAGGGCAAGGCCTCTTTCCAGTTCCTGTTTTAGCCTTGTTGCCATTAATAATTCCAGCCTGTGACTTTGTCTTCAGCCGGAGTAGATAAATCCAAGCTGGGAGGAGGAGGAAGAGGAGGCTGGGTCAAAGCCAAGGGTGAGCAAAATGGAGTGAGGAAGCTGGTTGGGGTTGGGGTTGGAAGGAATCTATAAAGTTCATCGAGTTCCAACCCCGCCTGCCATGGGCAGGGACACCTCCCACCAGACCAGGTTGCTCCAAGCCCCATCCAGCCTGGCCTTGAACCCCTCCAGGGATGGGGCAGCCACAGCTTCTCTGGGCAACCTGTTCCAGTGCCTCACCGCCCTCACAGGAAATAATTTTCTTCCTAATATCTCATCTAAACCCACCCTCCTTCACTTTCAAACAGTTGTCCCTTGTCCTGTTACTGTAAGTCCTGTAAAAAAGTCTATCCCCATCTTTTCTGTAGCCCCTTTAGGTACTGGTGCCAGCAGAAGTAGGGAGGTGATTGTCCCCCTGTACTCGGCACTGGTGAGGCCACACCTGGAGTATTGTGTCCAGTTCTGGGCACCTCAATACAAGAGAGATATCGAGGTGCTGGAGTGAGTGCAGAGGAGGGCAACGAAGCTGGTGAAGGGCTTGGAGCATCAATCTAATGAAGAGCGATTGAAGGAGATGGGACTGTTTAGTTTGAGGAAGAGGAGGCTGAGGAGATGAGGAGACCTCATCACTCTCTACAACTACTTGAAAGAACACTGTAGAGAGGTTGGTGCTGATCTCTTCTTGCAGGTAATTAGTGACAGAACAAGAGGGAATGGCTTCAAGCTCCAACAG